CCCCCCCACCTCTTGAAGTTATCAAACCAGAAATTCAACTGTAGCTCAACTCTGCATAGTTTGGAGGTTTTGGTGGTGGGGAGGTGTCCCAATTCTGACCTGACGGCACAGAGCTTGTGTGATGCAGGGTTTGCATAGATAGTTTGTCCTCTCCCCAGCCCAAAGAGTATTAAGAGGAAGAAGCCACAGCTTAGGATTTTGTTGCATTTGTGAAAAACACAGAAAAAAACCCCAAACCAAACATTTACAGAGGCTTCCCTTACATCCCCAGGTAAGGGAAGTGGGGAACAAGAGACATACAACACAAGTCATGGCTATTTCACAGAGCTTCATTGTCTGAAATGAAGTTTATTCCAGGCCCCAGTGAAAATATTAAAAATTGACCAATACATACACTTCTGCACCTTTGTCCAGGTCGTTTTTGTTCTAGAGTGGTTAAGTGCCTTTTTTTATTAAAAAAGTTTTTGTTTGTTTTTACATTATTGCTGTGTTTTACAACAAAATTAAAAACCATTTGTGGAATCCACCCAGCAACAAAAAGTCAGTTTCCCCAGAACAAGCCAAAAGCATAAAAGCATGTTCTGAAGGGGCCTTTTCTATACCAGCATTTAATGAGCAAGGGGGGAAGAAAAAAAAAAAACCAAACCACCCCAAAAAACAAAAGACTATCACTTCTGTTCCTAGTGTAGATGAATTGACTCCGTTTTCCAGAAGGCAAATCCTTTCAATAAATATCAGAATAACTTCCGAGATGCTGAAGTTCCCAAGATACAAGCAGCAGCTCTGTGCAATTCTCCTGGAGTCCCGTGCTGCCCCTTGTTTCAGTCCAGTGAGATGATGTCGGGAGCGCTGCCTCCGCTGCTGGTTATCACTCCCGTCTCGCTCCTGCTGGAGGAGCTAACGTGCGTGCTGCTCTCGTGGTGACTGGTCGATGTGATGATGCTGCCAGGCGTGCTGCTTGTTAAGGTTGAGGTGAGACTATCCAAAAACATAGGAGGACAGTACTGCTTGAAACAAACAATGAAGAATGAAGAGACTAACTGCACAAGGGAAATGTATGCTCTGAAGATACATCTTCCCTACAACAAGCACAAAACACGTTACTAGCAGAACCTCGACACATGCAGAGCAAGAACCAGAGTTCTGCAAACCGGCAAGTAAGCAAGCAGAGATGGTAGCCACGAGCCCTTCTCCCTCATCCTCCCTGGTTTTTTATTTGTCCTTACTAACTGGTTAGCTTGAGCATTTACTAGCACATTAAGAAACACTCATGACCACATGATAATCACAAAAAAAAAAAAAAACAACCACCTTTGCATTTGGCAAATGTTCACTGCCCATAGCTACTGGGCACAACTGTGTATTTCAGGCTCCTTTCATCGTGAAAGGCAGCGGAACACTTTTGGCTACTTCAACAGAGGTTAGAATAATTCCATCCCCTCAAACAGCAGCAGCTGTACTCATCAGCATTCTCACAGCATATACCCGCAATGATACATGCAGGTCTCCAAACATTTTAGCAGTGATAAATGAGCCCTGATCAAGTCTGATTAAGAAAAATTACTAAGCTGATTTCAATTTCCTGAAGCAGAAGACAAGCCTTGCCCAGAGAGGTGGTGGAGTCACCATCCCTGGAAGTATTCAAAAAAATGGGTAGATGTGGCACTTCGGGACACGGTTTAGTCTAGTCTGCCCTTGACTGGTTTAGTGTGGACTTGGTAGTGTAGGTTAATGGTTGGACTGGATGATCTTAAAGGTCTTTTCCAACCTAAACAATTCTATGATTCAAAGCAGAGCTAAACATTTGAAGCATTTAGGAACAGAACAAGGCTGCCAGGTGTCAAAGAAGAGGATAATATAAGACACCTCCCCACACACACATTTTTTCCAACACGTCTTACTTTCTCTTACCCTGCGGATTCCAATCTCGGGCATATGTTTGGAACTGAGCCTGAACTGTTTGAACTGTCCAAAGTGGACCCTTCACAGCAGCATACCTGCTTCCAGTCTCCCACATGAACAAACTTCTGTTATTCCCACTTTTGGCAGTTCAGATCTCAAGGTCAGGTACAGAGTATTGCAAGATGCGGTAAGTGGAAAGAAAAGGAGGAAGTTCATCCTTTGTTTTTAAAGGCATCAGAAAGTCAGCTTTACAGTAGAGTCCTATTACTGTTGTCTTCTAGTGACAGAAAGACAGAGCAGAGGATCTGCTTCAGATCCTCTTGTCTTAGCTAGGGAGCCAATATTCCCCCACATTTCAAGGCTGTAGTCTGTCTGTGTAAGAATCTAAGTTACTGTAAGAATCATCCTCCCTGACTCTGTAAAGTTTTAAGTTTCTAGGAAAAAGGAAAAGCACCACCTAGTTACTGTTGACCTACCAAATTTCCATATAATCCAAAGCCAATGGGGTTTAGGTGTTACGTGGAGGGACTTTTTATAAAAGTGTTCAGTCATGCGCCCAGCAAATTAATGAAGACATTTTCTTGAAAACTTAATCTCCTACTAACATCAAAACCAACAGAAACAGCAATCAGTGAAGTATATTTGCAGAGCTTAATCTGGCCTACGGATGCACAGTGCGTGCTAAGAGCGTGAAGTACACGATGGGTGTAATCACATCAGTGCTGCGCGAGTATCTGCTTTAAGGCAGGCAAACGATCGATAAAGAGCGAGTTTCCATGCCTGGATTTATCCCAGTAAGGCTAAACCGAATCCTCCCTTAATGCATCTTCATCACCACCTCTTGGTGGGCAAACGGATTTTCCTGGTCTGTGGTTAGGTCTAAGCAAGTGGACTGCAAACACGGCATGGATGGGGACAGCATCCGGACAGTTACTCGAGCAGTACGTCACAAAAAGCAGACTTAGAAGTTAACCCCGTAGCAGTTTAGAAACATACCTGTGAATCAACTGGGATTAGTGAAAGAAAGTCCAGACCTAGAAAGAAGAGAAGGATAATAAATCGACGAGTCTTTCTTTCATTCATACACAACAAATTTAAGGAATTTTTTTGTGGTCGTAGAACAGATTTTGCAATTGTTACACAGTTTCTAAATGGAATATACCACTGTGACAGCACTCTCAACGACTACTTCAGGCAGCAGCAAAACGCGTTATCTAGTACAAGTGGCTCTTTTTAAGAATGAGAATGACATAATGATTTATTATTCACTGGATATTGCAGGGTGGTTCAATGCGGTTGCTTAGATGGAGGTTGCCATTTGGAGCTGTTGGTTCATAATGCAAGTTTCACTGCATATTGTACCTGACTTGGCCAAACTGGGACATGAAGAGTGTCATCACATTAAAGATGCTGGAATGAAGTAAAGTCACAACATGCACAAGTCCAAAAACAAGCAGCAGGTCTCTTCCTCCACCCATGGGCAGCCAATAAGGAAACATTCCTAATATCATCCCCGTTTTGTGTCTAGACAAATAAAAGGAATGAAGAAGAGGAAACTACAAGTAGTTCAACGTATATCCTCTAAGAGCAGTGACAACTAGCGTCCGTCTTATACACCATTAGTGTGGAAGCATTTAGGGCAAGATGTTTAAAATTAGGAAACCAATGAGAAATTACAGCCTTTTTTTTGTTTGTTTGGTTTCTAAATATTGGCCTTGTGTTTGCTATGTCAACAGAAAGAAATGGTAAACTTACTCCCTCCCTCTTCCCTCACCTCCAGATCTGTTCTGGCCAGTGGCATCTCTCCTTCCTCTTCTCCATTAGAGAAAAATTTTGAAGGAGATTTAAGCTCAGCTGCTTTTACAGAATTGAGAGCTTCTTTCGTTCTTGCACGTTCTACAGCTTCAGCTGATAGAGATGGATAACAGTTCTAGACCTCCATTCTCCCAGCTTACTCTCCTATGCAATTTGGGAAGACAACAGGTTTCTTACCAAGAGAGAAGTGGAGGGAGGGAGCAGTAAGGGAACCAAAATGGACAGAGAAACAAGGGGAATGATATCCATCCCATTGCCAAACTGGTGCTGAAAGAAGAGGAAAAAACCCAGAGATGTTGCAGGGGAGAAATGGAGACAGGCAATGAAGGGGGGAAGAGGGAAGTACAGGAGGCCAGTGTGACACCTGTCACCACAAGTCGCCATTTCCTGGGCTCTGGGTTCGTTACAGCCGGCAAAGAGAACCCCCAGAGTCCCTATATACAGCGTTCTTTTCAAGGAGCCAGGATAGAAAACAATCAGTATCCCCACCTTTTGTCTGATATTTAGCAGCAGTGTTGAAGAATACATCATAGGCATTTAGGGTATGTCTAGGTAAAGAAAGTCAATAGAGGTCAGCTTACATATTGTAGCTCACCTTAACCTTTTTCATACAGTCTAGACAGAGCACCACTAGAATCAGCTAGCAGAATCTCTCTACGTCTAGTGTTGGGATGAGTCAGTGCCATCACACATCTATAACTTAAATAAGCAGCTACTCTCCCTTGCATCTACAACACGTAACGACCGGTTGTTTACACAAAGTCTAACTAAATATAGCGAGAAGTGTTTCTGGCTGCCATTCCAAAGTGCCAATTTCTACCCCAGAAGCAATGTTTTTTCACATCACTGTTGCGAAGTGCAATCTGAAACCGGAAAGACAGCCTGTACTGGACTTGTCTAGACATCACATCAAGGCAATACTGCATATAGTCTTGTTCCATTAAAAAAAAAAAAAAAAAAGAAATTGATCAATTCTCCAATTTTTACCCACCCCGCAAATTAATAAGGCTGTCAGAATAGACGTGAAAAATAGCCACCACCTACCTGGCAAGTCTGATGAAATACTGGATATTGGTGGATGATGGAATGGTACTGGGTAGTCTGTTAATGAAGGAGGAATAGCAGCAGCATCGACCGTTGACACGCTGGGCACTCTGACAGTAGATGGCTGATACATGAGAACCCTGTTTTAAACAGCATGGCAAGTTACAAACAGCCTGGCCGTTAGTTACAGAAGAGAAATTATGCACCGCTGTGCATACAAGGTCACTATGTTACGACACAACTATAGCGTGGCTACTCACTACACAGTATTCCACTCTAATTTCCTCTTTCATAACAGTCTTCATAATAACATGACCGTATCTTGGCTCTCAACAGCAGCTGTGACATAAGAGCAAGTTGGCATTAAAACAGAAGTACAGTGCTGGAGTCATTTATAACAGTCTACCATTCAGAGACAGAAATGGACATCTGCATCTGTGGAGCACCCTGGGAGGGACGTGCAGGTAGGCAGAGCCAGGAGGAGAGCCTTCAATTCCGCCACATAACTGTTCCTCGGTGCTAACCTGCCACGCCAAGGGTGCGACTGACCGTGATTCAGCTCCTGGAGCACAGATGACCCACGTGGGAGTTAAATATCAAGCCCGTCTTTACTCCACAGCCTGAGCCCCAGCTAAGTTCAGCTCTCCAGGAGCATGCAACCACTTAAAACCCTTCTGCATCCCCACCTCCTGCCCGATTACTTCACGGCGCCGTTAGAGATGACACTGCAGGCGTTCAGGCACCAGCCACAGGCATAAAGCATTTCATAAACCAAGTCAGGTGAAACACCCGGAGTCCCTCTCCCAGCTGCTCCGCATCATTCCCACCAGCCGTGAGTGTTACCCACTCGCATCTTCCTCCCCAGACCACTGCGCTGGTGCATTTACGCTACTTCCGATTTCAGCAGCTTGCATTTCACACCCTCCCTTCTCAAGCACCTCCTATACTTCAGCCTATGTTGCTTCTGCCTATAGGAAGACACCCCCCAGTTTTGCCAAAACTAGCATTCAGGCAACATTGTTTCCGGGAGATAAGCTATTCCCCAAAAGCCTGGCTTTGACTTGGATTTCAAGAATGAAAACGTGCCATTTCCATACCCAGACAGTAAGGGAAATACATTGGTCACAGACAGACAAGAAAACTCAGTCCTTCTACAATTATGGTTGCAGGTAGCCAACTCAGACAAACACAGGAGCATGGAAGGAAGTCTTGGTGCCTTCTGAAACTTCATTAAGAGTTGTATTTGTGGCTATTTTTTCTTAGAAAAGTAAGAAAAAAGAGTCTCTTGCAGAAGGGCTCCTCCACAATCCTCACAAAAAGCAACAGCACTTCAGTAGCACTGCTGAAAGTTGTTGAAGATGACCAACTATTTGCTCACCAAAGACCACACGTCCCTGCGTACTAGAGACACAGCACACCTGCTCATTACTTCAAGAGCTGGCAGAACAGAAGGGGTTTGTTTTTATTACTATTAAGTACAAGACATAAGCCACTACACTGAGACACAGACACACACCTCACGCATGCAGCAACACTAACTAATAAGCCATTACTAAAAGCTGATGCTTGGAATCACCTTCATGGAGCAGTGACTGCTGGTGAGCCTAACCAGTGCCCCTGTCTCCCTGCAGGTCTCCTGTGCCCTACGGACCAAGAGCAAGGACTTTATGGAAGCCACAAACAGTAACTGCAGCCAAGTAGCACAGATTGGGACAGAGAGAAGACGGCACAGCGGTGAAGAGGCTGCGTAAGCCTGCCGCTGAAGTCAGGCATGACTACAAAGACGGAGCAGTCGACAGAGGACTTGGGAAGTCGTGAGTTGTGCTGACCAAGGTGCTGGGCCGCCCGATAACCACAGCCAACAACAGCATCCAAGACATTCCAGAGTTTAACAGAGAGATGGAGGAGAAGCTTGCCTTGATACAAAACAACAAAGTGCCTCCCTTCCAAGACTGACAGGACGGATGAAACACACAACGCAGCCTAATTTCCTGGGCACCAGAGCAGATGAGATAAAGGGTATAACAGACAGCGAGAGAAAAGCCTTTAAGATGATGCTAACTTAGCAAGAACGCATAAAGCTCCTCCACTTGGCATAATCTGCTTTCTCGGGAGAATCCTGTCCATTAGCTTAATCAGCTTCCTTTTCTACTGAGAAATATCCCTGCAAACACAGCAACAGTCAGCGCAAGTCTTTTGAGAGATGTAAAACTATTTAATAGTGTTTTGCCTGTACAAAGGTACTGTATCAATACAACCTTCTGCAAGGAGAGGCCTAGAAATTCTCCTCTGGAAGTGTGGAGCTGGATCCCGAAGAGAGATTACAAGTCCGTTTGTCTACACATCAGTTTATCTGAGACATTACAGAATAACAATTAACTTTAAAATTGACAAACCCTTTGGTTGGGCTTCCTTGTGTTTCAGACATAAATATGCACTTCCTTTTGGCAGGAGGATCTTCTTCTTCATCAGAAGAGCTTTCTATTGTCAAGTCAATAACGTCAACTTTCTTCTTGTTTACCTCATTGGCCACCGTCACAGAACATGGTTTGCTAACAACACTGGAACCTAAATAAGAAAATAAAATATCACTGTTTTTAAAAGACTGTTGACATCCGCAGTTTCTATTTGCAACAGAACCAGAAACTCAAATCCTGTTTTAGCTCATCTTCCTGGCCACTACGGAGAACGTCATGGCCCAGAGCTGTTTTATTAGTATTCTGTATCATATGTTGATACTATTAAAACACAAGCTTTAATATTCACTTAACAGTTTAAGGACCTAAAACAAGAGCAACCTCTCGTTTTCTTAACTGCTATTATAGAGATCAAAGACAAAGCCCAAAAATGCACACTTCTAGAGATACAACCCTTTCTTTTTAGTCTAAAGGACAAAACAGATGTCAACATCCAGACACGTTATCCAAGCTACAACTGAGGCCCCCAGACTTCTTGTTGGTTTGCAGCCAGTACCCAGATGTACGTACTTTCTATTTTGGTGCACTGTGGACTTGAGACTTTCACAGCTTCTTTCTTTGGCCTCATGGGGCACCAGGAGCCATCTTCTTGGAATTTGATCTCATCCACATCTGAACATTCATTAAGGATTTCCATAAAGAGCCTGAAAAATAAAAGTTGAGTGGTTTCATTTTGGATTCCAAGTGAAATGTTTTATTCTAAGGGAAAAGGAGACACAGTTGAAAAGCTAATTATGACCACCTTCGACCCACTGCATGTACTCTCTGCCTAGTTCATCTTACCTGAGGGCCTGGAATTACCACCTTCACAGACATTGAAACCTAAGAGTATCCCAACCTGCCCATATTCCACGCCAACGTTACTGCAGTTCATAGATTTCCACACAGAAGCAGAAATCATCATCCTTTGAATCAAGTTTGACACTTGTTTATGAGTTGTTAAATTTTAAAGTTAATAGCTTCAGAGATAGGGTTGTGTAAAAGGGAGACTGATCCTTAGATGTCACATTTGGATTTCTCCAGAGGCTTAAGAGTTTGATGACACAGTTAGGGATAAACTTACATAGTTCATTACATGGGAATAGAAACTAACGAAGTCTAATGGCTCCTCCCAGTCTAAAGCAGTCTGACAAAGAAAATAGCATGAAATGGTGAAACCTTAAGGCACAAAAGTAGCTGTTGAGTACATCATGAAAAATTTTAAAGTAACTGTGTAATCTGCAAAGCCAGTCTCTTACCCATCTAATATTAGGCTCTCATAAGCTGCCTTTTTGTCACAGACAGGGCAGATCCAGGTAGGCTTCTTTTCATTCATTTGAAGATAAAGAGCAGCATCAAAACATTGCAGGTGTGTGCAAGTAACAGCCCGGCATGGGATTGTCAGTCTCATTTTCCCCAGCTGCAGGAGATACATTTAAAGAGCATCAGAACAGAAGACAGGGAAGTAGGCCTGGGTGGCTAACAATGAAATCAGAGGCAGGCAGTGAAGTAACTGTCTCTTCTCACTACAGAGGTGCCCAGTGCTAAGGTCGCCACAGGCAAATCCACCCTATCAAAGCACATACAGTGCACTTAAAGGAACAATAAAGCCATCCTCAAAGTCTTCACCGAGCTGAAAACGGTCAGAAGCATTTCTAATGGACCTGCATCAATGCTCTTTCTAGGATTTTATTTTTATTAAAAGACCTAGTGAAGCACCCACTTCATAATTTTCTTTTAACCCAAGTATTTCAAGTGTTTTTGTGAGCTCCAGAGTGGCATTATACCCATTTTAACATTTGACTTAACAGACCAGTCACTAACACAAGGCCAGTTTCTACCTGGGAAGAGAAATGCCAAGGCAGCGGTACCTTGTTACACAGCGATCAATTTTTTTGTTTGTTATAGTAGCTGGCAGTACAAGCAATAGCACCAAGATAAGCAGATCTGAAGTTTTATTTATCACTGTGCCCTTTAATTATTCTGTCACCCTGCCCAGTTCATCTCAACACACAGGATTACTCCTTCTAAAGGCCTCACTATACACACACGAGTAGCAACTTGATTCTGACTGCACTACAACCGAGGCATTCACAGTTCTAAACCATAGTTGGTTGAACCACCTGCTACAGTCAGGTGCTTGTAGATGCACCATTCTCCCCACTATTTCATATTAATGAATCAGTATAAACCAAGAGCCAGTGGAATTCCTAGAGCTGGGCCTTTTAAAAGCAGCCAACTCTGAACTAGAGACGAATACCCAAATCTGTATACGGTGATTTCCAGCCATACTTACAGGACACATCAGAGATACCCGCAGACTGGTTGTGGCAATCTCACTATCAGGATCTGCAGTTAGTTTTTCTTTAACTATTAAAATAAATGAAGAAGTTATACACAGACATCATTATTTAAAATGCCAACCTTGATTCGCCAGTACATGTACTTTATTTCCAGCTATCTAAAGAAAAATTAAGCATCTAGGGAAACTAGTTCATAGCAAATCTCAAACAACAATAGTTTCACTATTTATAAGCAACTGGCAAACACCGTGCATCACAAGATCGTTTGATGTGCAGCGGGTGCGCTACGGTTAGTAAAGCAAACTCAACCCAACATGCAAAGAGATAAATAAAATCATCATCAGTGAGTGAGGTACAAAGACAAGACAGTCAGCATCACATGCAAGTGAAGAGAACCCATATTTAGGACATCTCGCAGCCCACGACAGTAAGCGGTGCTCATGGCATTCCATGAGAACACCTCAGGTGGGATCTCTAGGTGTGTCTCCCTACCAGCTCAGGGACCCTCACTGAAAAAGCCCACGATGCCTCAGCAACAGCAAAGGGAACCTTTGATCCTCTGGGCATGGACTTTCTTTTCAAAATGCTGCAAATTCCCCAAGTATTACCAGTTCTAAAGAGCCACCAACCACCCTCAAAAAGTAAAGACAGGCAAATAAATTTGACTTACTTAGCGCTCTGGAATGATCGGGGTTTCTGATACCTTTCATTTTTAACCTCTGCAAAAGCATAGCTGAAGTGAGCTGACGAACGAGATACACAGACATGGAGTAATTCTACAAAAAGAGTGATTATTGATTAAATATTTATTTCATACAGTACTTCCACTATGACAACAGATTACTATTTACACTAGTTGTAGCAGACAGTAAAAACAAAAACATGCTGATTTTTTGCTTGATAATTATGAAAAGCATTGACAGATTACTTCATTACTGTGAAAGAGTCCAACGCTCTGCCAGAACTCTCCTGCCAATCAAGTCCAGTTGTCTTACTCCAGTTGTGACTTCACTAAGAAGAGTAACTCCACAACCAAGAGACAATCTGGCTTCTTTTCTTGGAAGGATGATTTAGACTGGCGATACACTTTCTCATACATGCAGTCTTTAAGAACTTCTCACATTTGCTTCCTAAATCCTTCCCCTTCTTTTCAGTGTCAATCTGTTAGTGGGGAGCTCAAAGACAATCGCATGACAAAAGAGGAGACAAATGCTCTTTCAGGTGCAAAACACACCACCTTCAAGTGGCACACAGCTGCACCAATTTCTTTGTACCTTTTCTGTAGCTTGCTTTGCACTTTCAAGCCAAGCCTCATTACACCATATCAACTCCTCCGAGGCTGGCTACACTCCCTAGCATTTACTACAATCCCTAATTCACACCACTTCCCAGCTTCTTTGTTCAGTGCTCACTCTCTCTTCAAGGTCACTAACAAAGAGAAAATTCTGCACGTCCCACTACTGCAAAATAATAGTTTCATCTGTCTAACATGCACAACCTGTGATCTCTTCTTTCCCCTCCCTGCCAGCCACCTTCTTATGGCTCCTATACCATCTGGGTACCGCACAAGATGTTTAAACAAGAACACCTACTGCCCTGCTCCTCCTTTACCACCTATAGGAAAATGAGCTCTCACCTAGATGAGCAAATAAAGTTATCGAAATGCATGGGAAACCACTAAGAAAAATGGATTTTTTTTTTCTCCCTTAAAGAATGACCATACATTGCACTGCTTAAAGAATTCTATAGGCTCAAGTCTGACCGCCTCTGTGGGATTAATGCCTCCTTTGCTCAGAAGCTCTCCACTATCAGACACACGCCAATAAACCGTGACCACGTGAGCCCGCTGACACTCCACACCGTCCCCAAGGGTCTCATTTAGAGGATGAATAGCGATGGCTGCTGTGCGAGTTCTGATACTCAGAGGAGAGCATCAACATTAAACCAGAGAACTTGCTTTATCCTTCAGGGCAAGGGGGAATGCTGGGACAACCTCCAATTCGTCTGCTTCCATGAGAATATGTTTTGGCAGACACAGGGGAGGAAGAAAGCAGGGTCAGTGGGCCAGACCAAAACCACACACAACACTGCAGTCATTTCAAGATTCTTGTGTTTTATGATTGGGAAGCAACAGCTTAGATCTTTCCCTCCACCTCCATTTTAGGAAAAAAACCGAAAAACCCACAAAACTTCACTGTCAGCACTGCCCTTCATTTATTTTCTGAACATTAGCTCTCTCTAATTTCTTTAAATTGTAATTAGTGTATAAATTGTTGATGATTGGACTGATGATCTTAGAGGTCCTTTCCAACCTTAGTGATTCCTAGTTTTTACTTTCATTATAAATAATCCAGCCACCAAGCCAGGAAACATGAAATTACTACTCTCCCCTTAACTGGTTTAGTGGTGGACTTGGCAGTGTTAGGTTAATGGTTGGACTGGATGATCTTAAAGGTCTTTTCCAACCTAAACGATTCGATGATTCTATAAAAGCTTATACTGGAGTCTTACTTTGAAACATGTGGTGTCTGGTCCACAGATTCTGATTTTGAAGAAAAAAAAGCTACTTTGATAACTGAATCCAGAAGGATTTACACAACTAGTCACAGATAGAGGAGTAAGTAGTTCTTGACTTACCAACAGCCAAAAGGGCTGCTGCAACAGCTATTTACACCTAGGAAGAATTCAGGAATTCCTCACACTCTCCCTTTCTTTCCTTAGTAAAGCCATAAGGGGATTTCTGAACAGCCACGCAGCCATTTTAAAGGCTAATTCCTTTTCAACTATGATTAATGACTGCAGACACTAGAAAGCAACAGGTATCACATTTCAGTCACCACCCCCTTTATCTCCTGCCACCTGAAGCCTAGCATGTTTTTCCCCCAGGGCAGCTTTCCATGAAGTTTAGAATTGCATTATGAAGAGGCTTCAATTTTCTTTCTTTCTCCCCCCCCCCAGCTTTCCATCCTTCCCCACATTGAGTCACTTCTCCCTCAAGTCACCCAAACTTCCAGAATGCTATTCATTTCTAAGAAAACACAAACTGCTCAGATATCCTGCATTACAAACACACACACCCCACACAAATATGGTCCAACCAAGCATGGCTGAGATCCATCAAGCCAATACCAGCAGCCTGACACTCCCCAGAAACCCTTCCCAGCAACCTGCCATCTAAGAGCTTTCCAAGCTGGAAATTCCACCCCATTTTGGTTCATCTGCAAGTACAATTTTAAAATCAACTCATAGAGAAACCATTTACACATAAAAAAAAGGAATCGCAAAAGAATAGAGATGGAAATATCCATTAACCAGTTCTTCCCATGACATAAAAATCGCTTTTGTAAAACTACTTAGTCTTACATGGTTAGAAAATACAAAAACCTCAAAAGCAAATGCATGTCTCCACCCCCACGGCCTTGGCACATCTGGTCAGTTTAAAAAGCCACCTCCAATGGACAGTTACAACAGATACCAAGAAACGTGCCTTAGAATATATAGCTGCACGATATCATTTTTCACACCTTCAGGCTACAAGGAAGAAAGTAGGTTTTCCTTTTGTTATTTTGTCATGTCTGAACTGTTTTTTCTATTTACACCACAAAAAGATTTTGGTATTTTTGACACAGATTTCAGGGAACCCCTAACGGCAGGCTTTCTAATGTGAATTCTGTAAGGAAGCCTTTGCCATCTGTATGCAAATCTTATATATGTTACTGTAAACTGCCATCCTTCCAGAACAAACTTTGTCTCCTGGCGCTGATAATAAGTTTAGCCACCTAATACTAACCACTCGCTGGTGTATGCCTTGCCAGCAGCATCAGGCAGTAGGGAAGCAGGAACGCTAGGTGAGGTTATCTACCCAACTTTCCATATCCTATAGAACATACAATTTACCTTTCCAATTTCAGAAGCCCAGGAAATGGAAATCTGGTTTGGCACTGCTGACGACAACCTAACTAGAGATGTTATATTCAAGGGGCGCCCAGGTCGCTTCTGTTCAATTCCATTTTTTGGCGGCGGAGCATATCCCTATGGGAAGAAAGGACAAGGAAAGTGTTACCAAGTCTCCCTGCTGTACTCTGAAACCTGCTGAAACAGACTTGTTTGTTTTAAACAGATCTACGGGAAGCAGGTAAACCTAGCCTCCAGCCTAGAGAGCCTCTAAGTTCTACACTTATGCTGAGAACTATCAGTCTTTGACAGTCTGGTACCATTAAGTCAGCCACAATTTTAAAGTCTTTTTAGGTTTTAAAATGGTTTTACAGAAGTGCTGAAAAGGTGGAAGAGAGTGCAGTTTTGGTCCAGGTAAGTTCACTGGAAGAATAAAAAGCAATGTTGATGCTTTGTCCTTCTTTTTCCCCCCACCCCAGTGAAACAGAGCAGAACATCGCAAGGACACAGCAAGTCATGAAGAGTTAATTCAGTGTTTCACACCTGGAAAACACTTCATTGATTCTACTGAAGAAACAATAAAGTCTTGTTCCAAGAGCTCCACATCTCCTTGCTGTCTGCTTTGCTTCATATCCAGTACACCGAGCCCCATTAGCAACAGGTTGTTGTCTGTACTCTGCCAAGGGCCCCGGAAAAGAGCTGTACATGGAATATTAGCTCTTAAATACAGCTGATAGGCTTTGCTGTTGTCTGCAGAAACAAAATTAGGTATTGTTTGCTCAGCTTCGAAGAATTTCATAACCTAGCCTGCTTTTCTCTGTAGTTTGATTTCCCGTATGATGTTTGCAAATTGAATCAGGAGTCATCCAGTTCCCTTTTGCTTCTAGGCAAGCACATACTCGCCAGCATGTCGTGAGCAGGAACTACCCGTGCTACGTAAAGGAGCACAGGGCCTAACTGCAGCTTATTCATCTCACCCTGCATCTGTCGCTATAAAAGCAAGCCAGTCTATAACAGGAACTCTGAGAATCTCCGTTTGGAGCTCACACAGGCAGCCTGCAGTCCACTCACCTCAAAAACCTCACCCTGCACCAGGAGAATGCCAATAAAAGATCGCAGCCCTATGTCTTGCACAGAACTGACTGCCAGATTTCATTTAGTTCAAGACAGTGTTGTTCTATACAAGAAGCCCTCCCAGAAAGGTTATGCTGGAAAAACACACACACACACATATATATTTTTACCCAGAGAAACACACACATTCAGAGCCTAGTGCTTGGAAATAGAGTTACTTTGAAAGACACTAAGTCTGAAAATAAAAACCAGAAATAAACAGCCTCTTCCACTCCCTAGCCAAGTATACCATAGGATAATCACTGCCTTTAATCCAAGGAGGACTCAATAGTTGTCACATCATTTCCTAGGTTTCCAGAGCAGCTCTTAGTACTCCACACATTTGACCTGACAACCAAGCTCTGGCTGCGCCTCACCACTGCCCTTTATTAATTTCTGACAGGACTCGTGCAGCGACAGAACAGGGACTCGGAGCTTCTACAGGCAGGTCTGCCAGGCCAGAGCAGCAGACAGCAATTGCTGAGGAGCTCCCTCTAAAATGGTTTTCACCCCAGGCAACGGGTGACCCGGTAGCTATCAGGAGCCTGACCACGCGTGCTTATCGCAGAACACAGAGGCAGCAGAGGTATGGGGACTGCTGACAATTTCACATTTAAAAGAATGAATGATTTGCTGTTTCTTTAATCAGACGTAACAGCTGCAGCTGTTTATAGAGTATATATCCCAATTGCTTTGCTGTAGTAGGCCTTTCTCTACTACGGTGACTTTATAATGAGCTTATATGGATGAACACACCACCCCTGCAATATTTCGGAGAGCGTTTCCACACATACTGCACCAGCCACGACAATCCTGCGCTGTTCTCCAACCTAAAATGAAGCTGCCTTGCTTTCAAGAGAGCAAGGATGCAAGTTCTTTTATATTTCCCAACTTTTTTTTCTTTTTTAGAGACAGACCCTGCAGCGCGCATGCTTCATTTCAGTCAAGCTTTTGATGTTTTCTTCCACAAAGCAATGACCTTGAGATCAGATTCAATCTTGTACTCCTAGAATGCTTTACAACAATCTCGTACTCCCTTCCTAGCCTTCCAGGACTTAGGTAAAGAGCACTCTGCTTGCCTATCACCACCAGTGTGGCCCAGCACTGCTTAGTTAGGCTGCCAATTCTAGTGGCTAGCAAGTGCCAACGTTATTTCGGTCTTTAAGTCTTCCACACTTCTTGCGAGAAGCATTTTAGTCAAAGCAAGTGGAATCTGCTATAGCCAGCAAATCCATCAACAGAAAGCATGATTGCTCTATCGGGCTATTTCCAGCCTGCCCTAATATATTTGATTTTGTCCTTTGAAAGAGACTGGCAGTGGTCTATGGAGGTCCCCTGAGAGGAAAAGCAAATTCTCTTTTTGGACTTTTTGCCTTTTTTCTTGCCTACAAGAGAAGTCAACAGGAGACCCACCTGCTGTAGTGCATTATGTCTAAAATCCTTGTTACTTGCCAAGACAGCAGCATGCAAGGCTCTACATTTACTCCTTTTAAGTCAGAACCAATGCTATAAGAAGAGGACACAGATAGTTGTAGGAATACAAGAAAACACCATGTTAACATGAGTTGGCACAACCTGCAGCAGTACTGGCACACCTGCAACATTACTCTGAAGTTTCTCATAAGGATTGCAGCCAAGGAGATGACCAAGAATAATTTACAGACCTCTGCAGAGGCATGAACTGTTACACTGGGGAAAGACAGAACAGTACTCACTTAAGAATTGTACGAGCTGGCAATAGAGGCTGGCATCACTGATTAATTACCCAACACCAACACTACCGAGTCGAACAATAGTGGTCTTCAAGGCAAAGAAGTTATCTTACATTTCCTGCAACAGAAAGGAACCACCAGAGGGATGCAGCCAGTGACCAAATCAACAAAAAGATGTTTGCAGGAGCACTCAGGCTGAGACTGTATTTGCCGTTCAGCTCATACTGAAGAAGGAGAGCAAAGGCAGTTGCCAAGACAATAGTCATTTATTCACCCTCTCACCTAAAGTTTCTGCTGAACAGATTAAAGAATCATCTTGTGGGGTGCAGAAAGAACCTACAGGATTTAGATCTAAAGCAAAAACAATAATCCGAGATCACAAACAATTTTTGCTATGACTGTGACATGTTACGCACAAAATGCATAGCATGACACAGCATAGCAGGGCATAAACTATATTAGCAAGACTGAGAGCCAGCAGACATTGATGCCCACAGGATAACATCAGACCCAATTCTTTTTGGTGGATTGCTTAAAGAAAGGAAGACAATTCACAGAAGAAAGGAGAAAATCCTCAAGTTTATCACAGAGAACATAACAGGCATTTGCAGAAAATACTGACCAGAAAAGATATGAAAGAAATCCTCTTACACACTAAAGACAGATAGAAGAACAGTGATGCAATGGTTAAAGAAGTAGGGAGAAGAGAGGCTGGAGAGTCTCACTTCAGCAAAATAGAGGCAAAAAAAAGCAGCCTTGGTTGCATATGGCAGGAGGGAGGGTACTGGATGACACTTCTGACACACCAGGAAGGTGACAAACGTTCTGAAGAAGAGGTTTCACACCTCCTCGCTCCACACAGCATTTTTCCAAACCCACTGCTGAAAAAAAGAAAAGCCCTCTGCACTACTACTTTTTCCATCTTCTATAGCTGCCAGAACTATTTCAGAATAGGTTGCAAAGAGTTTATCGCTGTTCTATTGTACAGAGATACCCATTCCAGAAATTCTTCAAGAATAACAAGAGTGCTTTTCCCTTTCTGTGTATATTCAAGCCTTGAGGTGACCCTGCCTACATACTAACTTTTGCTACATCAGACACCGGTAAAGCGTATGACTGCCAACGCTGTTCTGTTCCAGTATCAGCAAATGCTAAGAACCCCGAAATGTGTCTGTTCTTCATCCCCGCAACAAATTCTGCTCTAACCAGACAGATGCAGAGCAGCGTACAGACTGGTACACAAGGTGATACCATTCCCTTGTAACAAGAAGGAACTCAAGCCACCCACAAATATAGATGGCGCAAAGAATGAGGGCTACTACCAACCAAGTCAAATAAACTCAGTTCAAAGACCTATGTGAGGAGGATTCCCCATGCAGACACAGGTTTGGTTTTGACATATTTTGTTAACTGCAACAGATGAGGTTTGCTATAGGTGGCTAAAACACAATTAATCCATGCAGTGGCTGTATCATGATTAATAGTAGCCATGGCTATCTCACACAGGAAGTGTACAAGCCATATGCCTAACATTAGTAACCAGAGAAATTTCAGTGATAACAATAAACAGCTTGATTGTTTTAGAAAGCTAACATTACAGAAAAAAAAAAAAACCCAACACACACACAATTCACAAAGAAGCCACAAATACATACAAACAAGCTTACCGGCAACGGAAACAGCTTCCCATTTACTTTAATACACAAACTATTAGGGTAATTATCTTCTTGAGGGCAGCTTGTCTCTGCTAGGCATAACCTATATCCCCAAAAAGAGAAAGCGTCATTTTCAAGTGTCACCACATTCCTGTGTCCCCACAAACATCTAGACACGTCACATTAGCCAATTAAGAAGTGATAAGAGAACACTATGAAAAAGATACCTTAGCTGCACTTGGACTGTGTAATCTCTCCTGCCCCCTGGCAAGAAGTCCCTGTGACAGAAAGAAAGAAAAAGAGAAGTACCCATTTAGTCAGCAGATCTCATATTCCAGTCATATGCAGAAAGAACTGGCACGCCTGCCCCAACATCACTAAACTTTGCTCTTATTTTTCTTTTATTGAGCTATGAACAAGTCTTACGAGCGACGCTTCTGTTTAGCTCCTGCAAGTTAAGCAGGACTTTAACAGCAGCATCCTCTGTCAAGAGTTTATAGTACCAATAAAGTATGATGTTGCCAGAGAGGAAAAAACCCTATGAATTCTCTTGGCTTACACCATAGGTCTTGCAACAACATGAACCCCGGGACAAAAGATAAAAGCAGCCTTCCATTCCTGCAGCCAGGAAACATGCAGGGAAGAAAAGCTTACCACCTCTCTAAATAGTCACAATTATTTGGAACCGAGTAATTGTTAACTCTTTAGTGATGTAGGATTTACCCCAACTGCACATAAATTCTGCACACAGTAGCTCCTGAAGAAAACAGAACAGATAATCCTCACTGAAGCTATGCCGAGTTTATCATTCTGCATCTGCAAGCTTATACGATGCATAAAATGAACCCAAACCCCCACACTTTCTCCTGAAATTTTGCAAAAGTTTACCTACACTATGCCACACTCTTACTTCTTACCTGGAAATACAGATTTCTCTGACCTGCTGAGGTGTTAAAGCAAAGATAAAAAACTTCTCTTGGAACCTCTGAATACTGCTCTGTACTAGAAAAAAGAGAGACACAAAACAGATTTAACCATGATGATTAAAGTCATTGATTAAAACAGGATCTGCAATTGAGTTTTTCCTGGAACAAGGTATAAGTCACTTAGTATAATCAAACTGTGGTTGAACTGCATGTAACTGTCAACAGGAAAGCAATGGAACAAATAATTCATTCAACTATATTCAGAGGGCTTAATATCACATTACGCTTCAGTGCTAAGGAAGCTTGGCAAGCCGCGTTATAATCCTTTCTCCCAAGGGAGAAAGGTTCAGACAAACACAGAACAAAATATAACACTGCATACATGACGAAAAGAGTACCACAGAGATGTTGTTTACAACTATTTTAATATACTACAAGAAGAGAATGTGCACCAGAAGTTATTAATGGACAGCTGGAAAGTTACTCAATTCAGAAACAGCTAAAGGTAACTAAGCCTTTGGGGAGGAAGGGAGGGAGCACAACCCCTAATGCCAAAGAAGCCAGCTAGACTTCACATCTGGGAATTACCCCTCAGTAGCATCTGGCAAAAAGATAAATAAATACAACTTTCATATCAAAATCCTACTTGTGTCAGTGCTAGGAAGCAGTAATATTTTAGTATTAAGGGTTCATAGTATGTGGACATTACTTTTCTACTTTTGACTTGAGAAGTTAGAAATCTTGGTCTGAAATAAAGGTAGATTGGACTTGTCTAACAGTTTAAAGTAACCAGCAAGGAGGACAAATGCAAAAATAGCACAACTAAACCAGGCAAATTTGGAAGAGCTAGACTGTCTTGTGCACTGTGACATTCGAGTAGATGATCTCTATGCCCAGAAAACACACACAAAAAAAGACACAAACATGAAATAGAACCCAGGTGGAGCAAACACACACACCAAGTTCCTCAAACAACTCAAACCAGCTACGTTGTGCACATACACACCATAGACACCTTTTTATATTTTAAAATAATACTTGAGCATGCGTAAAAAAGATCATGGAAGTATTTTGTTACCGAATTGCATGTGGGTTAAAACCAAACCCCACACCTACACCTGCTTTTGTGTTCTCGTATTAGTGCAAAAGAATACCTACGCTCATCCCTTTTAAAGAGTTGCAGCGAAGCGGACTATACTCCTAGCTCTCTGACCTATTTGGTTTCCACATCCTTAGTTCTCAAACACAGACTTGTTCATTCCATATCCCAATCACCCGAGTCTACTAACTGGGATTATAAGCTATCCATATCAATCTAAAAATATTAAATAAAGCCTCATTTCCAAATTTGCTCATGAGTCCACGTTAGAGTGATCTTCAGCCAATGTTCATATCCTTCTAACATCAGACGGACCCATTATTTGCACATCGGGCCATTCCTCACATCTCATTTCCCCACCCCTCCTCACACAGATCTGTGTTGTAGCTCTGGCTGCTGCCACCTTCAGGTACTGTGCTCTGGAAAGAGTTTGAAGGCAAGCAAGTACTCAGTTAAACTGATCTTGTCCCCTTCACCCACGTCCTAAGAGAACCCAAACGTTACAGGACTAGATAACCCTCACTCCTATGAAAACTGGGCAATGTGCAACAAACAGCCTACAGTCTTCAAAGGAAAGAGGAATTTACATGCAGCTTTAACTATAATGACTCCCCTAAGGAAGCATTCTCCTTTCAGGAAAGGAGGATCATTTCCAAAGTTGAGAAAAACAGCTGTAAGGGAAATTTCTAGCATATCCCTGCCACCTCCAGCTATCATTGACCAGAAAACAAATGGTAACTGCACAGCAGAAATATAATGCAGAGCACACGCTGCATTATAGGGGACAGAGTGACTACGTGGCTGGCAACCAATCTGGCTAACTATGAGTCAACAGTTGTCCCACGAAACAGAATAATTCGGGAAGCTAGTTAAGATACTCAGCTACTGCGCACAGCGAACATAAGCAGGAGTTAGCCAGGACATCGTGGCACTAAGATATCTCTGTAAAGGGAAGGGCAGCGTGAGCCATAGCTGCTGTGGTGTTGAACAGCTCTATTGTACCAACACACGGGTTTGATATCAAACTCTTCTCTAACGGGGTGTCACGACACACACACAGGAGTGACAACAGGCTTTGTAAACAATGCTTGTTAGTAACGCTTGCTGCTTTAGGTACTGGAGGATGACCAATCATCTGTATATGCCTCACTGAGGTACAAGTCACAGCCTAAAAGGCTCTGTTATCAGTTAAGAAACTGATGTGTTGAGGAGGATGCAAACAGCTTGCAAAACGCTGAAGTGTTTCTAAACAATATTATTAAATTGTTAGGGAACATTTTCTACCATGTAAGGCATGACAGGTTGACTTTCAAGACAGAAAACAACATATTTCCAAATAAATACGTTTAAGAGCAAGGCGTTTGAGGAAGCTAAACTGAGATTTCAGGTTATTTGGAAGACAAAGGCCCACTCTACATTTTAAAGTAGAGTATGGCAACAACGAGCAGGCCGAGAAAATCGTCACTAAACTGAGTACCACACTGCACGTTTGTTGCACAAAGTATCTATTTCAGTGCCAGATGCAACCTGCAGAATTGTTGCAGCGAGATAAACGCAAGCTAACAAACCAGTAAACCTGTTCTCCTTATGTTGTTGCAACTTATTATTTCTGACCCCAAAATTATTTTCCTCTTGGCCCCGACAGATGCGTTCCTCATTTGTACCAGGCACAGACTTCAGGTCTAAATCTTTCAGCCAAAAGCGGAGGTTCAGACTAGATATTAGGAAACATTTCTTTACCAAGGGGGTGGTCAAACACCAGAACAGGCTTCCTAGAGAGGTGGTCGACGCCCCAAGCCTGCCAGTGTTTAAGAGGCATTTGGACAACGCCTGTAACTATTACTCTTCAACTTCTGGCCAGCCCCGAAGTGGTCAGGCAGTTAGGTGATCATTGTAGATGCCTCCCAACTGAACTGTTCTACTCTATTATTTAATGTTCCAAAGACAAAGATCTTTAATCGTATAATATTTACAGAAGAGAACACTATTTTCCAAAGTGTGGCTTGGCGCTTTTAGGGACAAGTGGCGGAGAGGGCAACGGGTAGAAATGAGAAGGGAAGGAGAGTTTCCACTTTTCCCCAGCTGCAGAAAGCCATTTAAGTCTGGACTTAGCACTGTCATAAGCAACACCTATTTCATGACCTAAGCAACCTGCAGAGCTATTAAACACTTACCTAGACTTGTAGGTTTTATGAGCACATCAAGCACATCGTAAAAAGGTAGGCTTTTCAGCTGAACGTCGGGATGAACGGGTGGAATCGGAGGGGATGGCTGCTGCATCTCAAAGTGGGGCTTAGTGTCTTGGAGGAGCACAGAACTGACAGGCGAGGAAGGAGACTGAGGCGTGACCGAAGTAGAAGGGAGTGGGTGAATGCCAGCAACGGCCAGGTCAGGCTCAACAGGAGAGGAACTACTGTCCAAATTGAAAACTGGGGGTTTTATAGCCGATAAGTCCGAAAGCCCTTCAATTGTCCTTGGGTACCGACGCCTATAGAGTTCTCGAATTTTTATCTGAACTGCTGGGCTGCAGCCGCTCTTCAGTAAGTGCAGTGCCCTCATCAGGAGGTCATGTTTCCGTCCGCTTTTATTACGCCCAGCAAACCCCAACAGCACTTGTAGTTCAGAAACACGAAAACTTGATACCATATTCTAGAAAGAAAAGAGAGATAAGCACAGGTGATCCAACAGTACCCTATTTAGGCCTCTTTAGGGAGCATGGCAAAGCACCTGAACTTCCATCGATCTAGTTTCACACTTGTCATCTTAAAGACTACCCATACCCTTACCTGACACAAGAGTAGAGTTAGTTTAAAGCGAAGAAACAAAGTGTCCAGGATTAAGGTTGAGTGTGGTTGTGTTACTGATTTCAAAGATTTCTGTTTCCACACTCAAACAATAGCAACAACAATAACAAAATCTTAATGCATCCCATGCAGCGCTATATTAAATTCAGAGGCAGAAGCATAAGCTCTAACACAAAGTATCTGTCTCGCTTCATGAAACAAACAAAAAAAAATCAGATTAATCAGTACTATCAGCTGTCTTCCAACACATTTTAAGAAATAAAATAAGCAGCTGTTTAAATTCTGCACAGCTTATTCTGAAACATCCTTTATTTTGGGCAGCATGTTAAACGCATGCATGAACAGAGACAGGCACATCGGGTTTCACTCTTGCAAGGATGGCATAGCAAGGTGGACGCTTTTTAAAAAGCTACATTGTATTGTACTAACAAACTGTTTAACCAACATAATTGATTCTTCCAGAACAGAAAACTTACTGTCTTTTTTGTATCACACTCTGGTACTGTGGGACACAAAGATCTCTTCAAAGGAAATACTACTATTATTTGGTTATCAGAGTTAGTTGTGGAAGACTTTGAGGACTGAACTATGAACTTCATGAACAGGAAGATCCTCATTTTTAAAAAACCCCAAGAAATAAAAAAAGCCCACTGTGCAAGAGGAAGCAATCTTTTCTCCCCATTACTACAAACTAGCAACTTGGCATAGGTGCATCATCTCACATTTTTGTGAGCAAGCTCTCTTTTCAGAGAGGCATAGAATTGTCCAGAATTCTTCTAAGCAATTTTCTTCCTATTTCTGTAGGACTCCCCCACTGTAACAAGGAGGTTAAGTTTTAAAGATGAAAGAACATCTGACTTTAATCTGTACTGCTGTACCACACCAACTCCAGACTTGAGGACCGGCAGATGAAGGCCCTAACAGAAGATATGAAGTAGTAGACATGTGGAATTATAAAAGAGATTTTTAAAACAGTTCAAAAGTGCATTGTTGACTCCTAAATAGTAGTCCAATATACAATATCTGAAGCTTTGGGCATTGATTTCAGAAGGGATTCAACTCAAAATGCAATGTTTTGTGTTTACCTTCCCTAATCCTTACTATACAGAGTTTACACCCACGTATTCCAACACAGATCTGATCTCAGCTGAGGTTTTAACACAACTATGCTACAACCATGCAGTCAGCCACCAAAAAAAACTCTGAACTCCCCCTGTGGCCCTAGGTGCTTGTTCCCTATTCTCTCCTTAATGTTGAGAAAATTGCTTTTACAGTAAGACAGAGCAGGTAATTAAGCCAATGAAAACTGAACTTGGGCCATTACAAGGCAGCAGGAGCAAGCAGCCAGGACCTGCCTTTTCAAGGGCCACATTATTTGTGCATATCAAAACAACCATCTAAAATACTATGGTCATACTCTCATCAGGCACACCCTTTCCTCATTATTGAGGGGATGAGGTTATCCTATTGCAGCTACTGAATTTCAACTTTTCCAGACAGCCAGTTTGGGTACGGCGATGCTTGTATCAAGTAGCTATCAGGGAGCTAACCCAGCAGCCTTCAAACCGGTATTCCCCCAACACCCCCATCTATAAATGTACCACGGACGCAACTGCCCATGAAAGCAGTGTCACATGAGGTGTTGAGCGGTTCTCCCTAGCTTCTGAAGAAGAGGCCAGCAGCAGATGTCACCTTCATTTTATCCTAGCAACTTCTCTCAACAGCAAAACGACACAAGAAAAGAGGAGATGGAGACAGAACTCCATCCAGTTTGCAAGCTGCTGGAGAAAGTTAGTTTCCACCTGGCATTCCCCTGCCACTTTGCCTTAGTCTCACAGTCAAACAGGGCGAAGAAAATAAAGTGTTTCAGCATTCATAAAAAATAGCTTGAAGTACTATAACAGCTTTATAGTCATACCACATAAAAGAGAAATTGTGTTAAAAGATCATACCAGCATTCAAGAATTTACTGAGAACTCCATGTTGCGTGCTTCCGTAGAGAGTTGCATAAGCTTGATAGCAACATCAGCTCCTTTATTTCAGATGCAGGCAGTAAGCGTGATTCTGGATTCCATAATCAGAATGCAAATGAATAAAATAATCCTTTACACTGAGATTAAGGAAACAGCATGTATTGCAAAATACTGCCTATTACCCTGCCTGCTGCCTTCTGTGCATTCC